TGTTAGAGATTTTTTTTTTTCTGCTAGAAAAGCGGCCAACCACCATTAGGGATGTGAGAAGTAGTGAGGTTGCTAACTCTCGGGCCTAAAATGGGCTACAACGGATCTATGCCTAAAAAACGTGTGCGTCCCGCCTTGTGCGGCTAGAATATTAGTAGAAAAGCGAGTAAGCACGTTTTGGCGAGGGAAGTAGTACTCGCGATAATTTTAACTCGTTGCATTCTTGACCCCTGCGCGACGTGGCAGCGGGGGTTCATAATCGCATAGGCTAACTCGTCACTTCATGTTTCGAGATGACGAAATGTCAGCAAGCCCAAACACGGAAGATTTGCATCCCAATTTTTCCAGCTCATGCACTCCCCCCAACCGCTCTAAATCCCACTCCCTCTACCTAACCCAACCCAACCTTTCAAACATTTGTACCCTGAGACTGGGTGAGATCTAGATCTCACTCGTACCTAATCTGCAGCGACACATTTCCCCATCGCAATAGCGACTGGAACATCGCGATTTCCTACTAATACGGTCCTAATTAATCTCCCCTTTTCCCACTTTAAAAGAGAGGCTTCGCTCAAAGGGTTCCCCCTGCAATTTCTTTTTACACTTCACTGTGTCAAGATTTCGGCCGTAAATTACGACCATATTTTTGAACCAACCCTAAAACAGCACGATTTATCGTATTTTACCGTAAAATACGACCGTAAAATACGATTCCGTATTTTACGGTAAATTTCCAAAAATACGACCGTAATTTTGAACCTTGCCTGAATGCTGACCTGATACCTGAATGCTGACCTGGTACCTGAATGCTGACTTGATACCTGAATGCTGACCTGATACCTGAATGCTGACCTGGTACCTGAATGCTGACCTGATGCCTGAATGCTGACCTGATACCTGAATGCTGACCTGATACCTGAATGCTGACCTGATACCTGAATGCTGACCTGAACATCTCCAGATTTGATGTGCAGAAACTGGTTCGGCACGGTACAAAACAGAGCAGGGGGATTACGAATGGTACAAGGATTAGTCCCAGCTCAAAATGCACTCACCATCTCCCGTTTCTGTTCCCCATCTTCATGTTTCAAGCTCGTGTCAGAAATAGCCACATGGCTCACATGCAATCTGACTTTGTGGTCTGGTCGAATTTCAGCGAAGCTCACCTCGTTGCGGGACAGCAGAAATCACAGAAAGCGGGTGAGTGTGAGACGCAGTCAGAAGTCGCATGCAGTGAAAGGCTGCCCCCCCACCCTCCACTGCTTTGCCTCACTGACGGAGGGGGAGCGGGAGGGAGAGGATGGCGGGGAGGGAGGGGGGGCATGGGGAGCGGGAAGGAAGGCGGAGAGGAAGGGGCAAGGGGCAGGGAGAGGGTGAGTGGTGAGGCAAAGGGTATGGCATGTGGAGGGATAATCAAGTCATGGTTTTGAAGCCCTGAGCTGCAATCACGGTCACAGTGCTTTCTGGAGAAGCTTGTATTGAAAGCCCACAGCAACATGCATGACAAAAATTTATTGGCAGGCATGCTTTCACTATGTGGCACATGTATTTTACAGGGAATGTAGGACACATAGTGTGGCGGAGATCATGTGAAGCAGCACATTCATTACAAGCACCACAATCATGCCACACAGCACATTTATGGCAGGTAAGGTAAGGGATGGGGGCGTGAAGTAATGTGAGTCATGATTCTCAAGGTATGAGCTGCAATTACGGACAGAGTGCTTACTGGTGATGCTTGAAAGCCCACAGAAAGGCATACAGAGTCACAAGCATAACTACACAGTGTGCCACATGCATTTCAAAGGGGAAGAAGAAGGAAGTGCCTTGTTGGGGAGGCGATTGAACATTATGTCAAAGAGATCATTCCAACCGACACATTCATGCCACCTGACACAATCATGCCAGCAGCACATTCATGCATGCAAGTGCCTCTACTGGCACGAACGGCATACAGACAATGTGAGACAACAAACAACATAATCAACAGCCCATTCAACAAACCAAACTCCTTAGCTCTTGCAACTTGTGATATATACACATAAATACTCATGGCAGCATTTACATTACATGGACCTACACGTAACAAACTTAGCCCTACCAGCAGCAAATTAAACCTAGAAGTCAACTATATAATACAGGGTAACACTTTCTAATGTGCCAGCGAGCATCAAGTCAAGTCTGTCACCTCCACCTGGGTTGCTGGGACTGCTGTTTCTGCGAGGCTGTTGCAGTCTGGACTCGCAACTTACTGTTGCTCCCTGCTGCTGCCTGCACTCCCTTCTTCCCCTCCCCCCTCACAGCCGAAACTGGGGCTTTCCTCAATCTGCTCGTAGCAGCAGCAGCCCCGCCAGAGCCAGCAGGAGCAGCGCGTCTCATTTTTGGTTCTGAGAGCTTGCTTGCTGACTGCTTAGCTCTCACTTCCACCACCTTACCCATACATCCGGATCTCTTCTCAGCAACAGCACCAACCTTGGTAGCTTCTCCCTTCCCGTTCCCACTCCTTGCTGTGCCACAGGCTGCTGCCTTCACAGGCGGCTTCACTGCCTGCTGTGTGGCTGATTTCGCTGCTGCTTTCACCGCTGCTCGTCCTGCTGGCGAAGCTGCTGCGCGTGCTGATGGCTTGCGCGCAGCAGGCTTTACCACAGCCGTTATTTTAGCTGCTGAAGGGGCTGCTGCATTCGCCACGGACCGAGCTGCTGATGGTGCTGATTTAGCTGCTGATGGTGCTGCTGCCTTCGCCACTGACCGAGCTGGTTTCGCTGCTGTTGGCGCTGATGGCTTGCAAACCTCTTTTTTAAGTGAAGCAGCAACAGGCATAGCAGCAGAGGCAGCAGAAACGGCGCCAGAAATGGCGTCAGCAACGGCATCCGCAGCAGCAGCAGCCACCACAGGCACAGCAGCAGCAACAGCGGCACCAAGAGCGTCAGCAGCAGCACTTGCAGCAGCAGCCAGCGTGCTCACAGTAGAGGCAACAGCGGTAGCGAAGGCGGGCCTCAAAGGCGAGAAGCCCAGCCGTGCTCCAGAGCGGTTTTCCCGGCGCTTCTTGTTCTCCTCAACAACAAACCGACCCATCTTGATAGCCACCTCCACGGAGGTCATTGCTTTGCATTCCACAGGTCTCCGGATTAGCTGAGTTCGCAAATACGCCTCGTCCGCTTCCGTCCATTCAGTGACAAAATCGGCCGTGTTAAACGAATCATACTGCGCCACCCACTTGGCAATGGTCCACCCATCGTGCGGTTTCAATAATCCGCTTCTCAAATATTTCTCATCCTCATCCGTCCACTCGGGTGTGACGAAATCAGCAAAGTTCACAGAGTTACTTGCCAAGAGCAGCAGTTCGTCGCTCACAGTTAGTGTGGCACGACGAATTGTGACAGGCGCTTTCAGATAAGCCTCGTCCTCAGTAGTCCACTCAGTAACAAACTCAGCGGAGGAGCTTACTGTAAATCTGGCTAAGAGCAGAAGCTCCTCGCTCACGCTGAGTTCAGCTGGTGCTGCTCTCAGCTGAGCTTCATCAGCCTCCGTCCATTCGTAGAGGCAGTCAAACGGGAGGGAGTTGAGTGCAGGGCAGTTGAGCCAGCTCGGTACCTCCCACAGGTACCTCGCTGCGTTTCCGAATGCCGTGGCAGCAGCAAGGGCAACGGCAAGAGCCGTTTCAGGGTTCATCGAGTCCATTCGAGCAGCGAGGGTTCTTAGACGCACGAGGGGAAAATCTCTGCGAGTGACTGAAAGAGCGTGTGAGGCAAACAAGTTGTGATTGAAGAGAAATGGTCGTCAAGTGACCACTTCTACTGACACACGGCAAAGGTTTCCCCCGTTAACGAAGGAGCCGTCGTTCGATCGCATGTTCGGCACTTCTGGGTGCAGCTTCGGCACCACACCCGTTTACTTCGCTTTGAGGCAAACGCGAGGCGGCCAGTGGGTGGTCCACATTGCTGCTCGCCCGACTGTACCGCCAGCTAAGACGAAAATCGGACGGTTGAAGTGTTTCCAGTGCTTCCGTAATCGTATCCGCGGCAAAGGTTTGCCCTCGATGTGATTATTTTGCAGCATGCTCACGTGGATGACAAAACAGCGAATAGATAAGCTCAAATCGGACGGCCTGAAACGCTTCGTGAATGTCGGAACCCCACCTACGGCTAGCTTTGGCACCGACATCCGCAGCGCGTGGACATTCGTGGTGGACCTAGCCCAGCATGACGTGTTTCATGCGTGGATCTAGCGTGGCGTGGTGAGGAGGGGTCATACCTGGTGGTGGGATCATGATTGGGAGCGCATTGTCAGAAGTCGATCTAAGCTCCGAGGCTGCGGTGAACTCGTAAACGGGCAAGACAGGGGCGGCTGAAGAGGGACCACATTATCTCGCGCCAAATCCGGCTGGCTATCTGTGGTAACCTCGATACTAGTATCCATGGGTGGACTTTCTGTGAGATAGCGGGCGGTTCTCACAGCAGCGAAAAGAAATCTGCTTGTTGAGAGAGTTGGGGGAAGGAGACAAATGGCGAGTTGGGTGGGATGCTTTGGTGCAACAACACCAAACCCTAGGTCTCGTACTCAATAATGCTCAATGAACATTTCGTTTTAAAACAGAAGGTATTTTTACCTCATATACAAGTTAAGTGCAAATTTGGGGTATTATTAGACTGGAAGATAAATAAGCATGTGCACTAATCCATAGCATACCGTACCTAATGTGATTATGAACGACAGGCAGGAATCACTAGGTAAAACAACAAAAATAATGCGACTTTGTACATTTCTGTATAAGAAGCAGCTGGATGGTTTTGCCTATCCTCTGTACACTGTATAATTGGTGCATGCTAAACACATACGTAGGAGAGTATCCCAATGGCATTTACATATCAAATCAACGTGACAAGTGTCAAGCATGGGTAACATGGTACCAACACATGGCCCAGCAGATTGCATTCCACAACAAATTGATTCCAAGAAAGACAATAATGGCAGTTGCCTTTACCTGAACCAACTCAGGAATGGTACCCTCCCTCGCAGCAACTTTCTCCAACCTGGCGACTAGCCTCATCCCATCCCACCATCTCTGCTCCTCATCCCATCCCACCATCTCTGCTCCTCATCCCATCCCACCATCTCTGCTCCTCATCCCATCCCACCATCTCTGCTCCTCATCCCATCCCACCATCTCTGCTCCTCATCCCATCCCACCATCTCTGCTCCTCATCCCATCCCACCGTCTCTCCTCATCATCCCATCCCACCATCTCTGCTCCTCATCCCATCCCACCATCTCTGCTCCTCATCCCATCCCACCATCTTTGCTCCTCATCCCATCCCACCATCTCTGCTCCTCATCCCATCCCACCATCTCTGCTCCTCATCCAATCCCACCATCTCTGCTCCTCATCCCATCCCACCATCTCTGCTCCTCATCACATCCCACCATCTCTGCTCCTCATCCCATCCCATCATCTCTGCTCCTCATCCCATCCCACCATCTCTGCTCCTCATCCCATCCCACCATCTCTGCTCCTCATCCCATCCCACCATCTCTGCTCCTCATCCCATCCCACCATCTCTTCTCCTCATCCCATCCCACCATCTCTGCTCCTCATCCCATCCCACCGTCTCTCCTCATCATCCCATCCCACCATCTCTGCTCCTCATCCCATCGCACCATCATTGCTCCTCATCCCATCCCACCATCTCTGCTCCTCATCCCATCCCACCATCTCTGCTCCTCATCCAATCCCACCATCTCTGCTCCTCATCCCATCCCACCATCTCTGCTCCTCATCCCATCCCACCATCTTTGCTCCTCATCCCATCCCACCATCTCTGCTCCTCATCCCATCCCACCATCTCTGCTCCTCATCCAATCCCACCATCTCTGCTCCTCATCCCATCCCACCATCTCTGCTCCTCATCCCATCCCACCATCTCTGCTCCTCATCCCATCCCACCATCTCTGCTCCTCATCCCATCCCACCATCTCTGCTCCTCATCCCATCCCATCCCATCTTCTCTGGTCCTCATCCCATCCCACCATCTCTGCTCCTCATCCCATCCCACCATCTCTGCTCCTCATCTCATCCCACCATCTCTGCTCCTCATCCCATCCCACCATCTCTGCTCCTCATCCCATCCCACCATCTCTGCTCCTCATCCCATCCCACCATCTCTGCTCCTCATCCCATCCCACCATCTCTGCTCCTCATCCCATCCCACCAACTCTGCTCCTCATCCCATCCCACCATCTCTGCTCCTCATCCCATCCCACCATCTCTGCTCCTCATCCCATCCCGCCATCTCTGCTCCTCATCCCATCCCAATATCTCTGCTCCTCATCCCATCCCACCATCTCTGCTCCTCATCCCATCCCACCATCTCTGCTCCTCATCCCATCCCACCATCTCTGCTCCTCATCCCATCCCACCATCTCTGCTCCTCATCCCATCCCACCATCTCTGCTCCTCATCCCATCCCACCATCTCTGCTCCTCATCCCATCCCACCATCTCTGCTCCTCATCCCATCCCACCATCTCTGCTCCTCATCCCATCCCACCATCTCTGCTCCTCATCCCATCCCACCATCTCTGCTCCTCATCCCATCCCACCATCTCTGCTCCTCATCCCATCCCACCATCTCTGCTCCTCATCCCATCCCACCATCTCTGCTCCTCATCCCATCCCACCATCTCTGCTCCTCATCCCATCCCACCATCTCTGCTCCTCATCCCATCCCACCATCTCTGCTCCTCATCCCATCCCACCATCTCTGCTCCTCATCCCATCCCACCATCTCTGCTCCTCATCCCATCCCACCATCTCTGCTCCTCATCCCATCCCACCATCACTGCTCCTCATCCCATCCCACCATCTCTGCTCCTCATCCCATTCCACCATCTCTGCTCCTCATCCCATCCCACCATCTCTGCTCCTCATCCCATCCCACCATCTCTGCTACTCATCCCATCCCCCCATCTCTGCTCCTCATCCCATCCCACCATCTCTGCTCCTCATCCCATCCCACCATCTCTGCTCCTCATCCCATCCCAACATCTCTGCTCCTCATCCCATCCCACCATCTCTGCTCCTCATCCCATCCCACCATCTCTGCTCCTCATCCCATCCCACCATCTCTGCTCCTCATCCCATCCCACCGTCTTTGCTCCTCATCCCATCCCACCATCTCTGCTCCTCATCCCATCCCACCATCTTTGCTCCTCATCCCATCCCACCATCTCTGCTCCTCATCCCATCCCACCATCTCTGCTCCTCATCCCATCCCACCATCTCTGCTCCTCATCCCATCCCACCGTCTCTCCTCATCATCCCATCCCACCATCTCTGCTCCTCATCCCATCCCACCATCTCTGCTCCTCATCCCATCCCACCATCTTTGCTCCTCATCCCATCCCACCATCTCTGCTCCTCATCCCATCCCACCATCTCTGCTCCTCATCCAATCCCACCATCTCTGCTCCTCATCCCATCCCACCATCTCTGCTCCTCATCCCATCCCACCATCTCTGCTCCTCATCCCATCCCATCATCTCTGCTCCTCATCCCATCCCACCATCTCTGCTCCTCATCCCATCCCACCATCTCTGCTCCTCATCCCATCCCACCATCTCTGCTCCTCATCCCATCCCACCATCTTTGCTCCTCATCCCATCCCACCATCTCTGCTCATCATCCCATCCCACCATCTCTGCTCCTCATCCCATCCCATCCCATCTTCTCTGCTCCTCATCCCATCCCACCATCTCTGCTCCTCATCCCGTCCCACCATCTCTGCTCCTCATCCCATCCCACCATCTCTGCTCCTCATCCCATCCCACCATCTCTGCTCCTCATCCCATCCCACCATCTCTGCTCCTCATCCCATCCCACCATCTCTGCTCCTCATCCCATCCCACCATCTCTTCTCCTCATCCCATCCCACCATCTCTGCTCCTCATCCCATCCCACCATCTCTGCTCCTCATCCCATCCCACCATCTCTGCTCCTCATCCCATCCCACCATCTTTGCTCCTCATCCCATCCCACCATCTCTGCTCCTCATCCCATCCCACCATCTCTGCTCCTCATCCCATCCCACCATCTCTGCTCCTCATCCCATCCCACCGTCTCTCCTCATCATCCCATCCCACCATCTCTGCTCCTCATCCCATCCCACCATCTCTGCTCCTCATCCCATCCCACCATCTTTGCTCCTCATCCCATCCCACCATCTCTGCTCCTCATCCCATCCCACCATCTCTGCTCCTCATCCCATCCCACCATCTCTGCTCCTCATCCCATCCCACCATCTCTGCTCCTCATCCCATCCCACCATCTCTGCTCCTCATCCCATCCCACCATCTCTGCTCCTCATCCCATCCCACCATCTCTGCTCCTCATCCCATCCCACCGTCTCTCCTCATCATCCCATCCCACCATCTCTGCTCCTCATCCCATCCCACCATCTCTGCTCCTCATCCCATCCCAACATCTTTGCTCCTCATCCCATCCCACCATCTCTGCTCCTCATCCCATCCCACCATCTCTGCTCCTCATCCCATCCCACCATCTCTGCTCCTCATCCCAACCCACCATCTCTGCTCCTCATCCCATCCCACCATCTCTGCTCCTCATCCCATCCCACCGTCTCTCCTCATCATCCCATCCCACCATCTCTGCTCCTCATCCAATCCCCAAATCTTTGCTCCTCATCCCATCCCACCATCTCTGCTCCTCATCCCATCCCACCATCTCTGCTCCTCATCCCATCCCACCGTCTTTGCTCCTCATCCCATCCCACCATCTCTGCTCCTCATCCCATCCCACCATCTCTGCTCCTCATCCCATCCCACCATCTCTGCTCCTCATCCCATCCCACCATCTCTGCTCCTCATCCCATCCCACCATCTTTGCTCCTCATCCCATCCCACCATCTCTGCTCCTCATCCCATCCCACCATCTCTGCTCCTCATCCCATTCCACCATCTTTGCTCCTCATCCCATCCCACCATCTCTGCTCCTCATCCCATCCCACCATCTCTGCTCCTCATCCCATCCCACCATCTCTGCTCCTCATCCCATCCCACCATCTCTGCTCCTCATCCCATCCCACCATCTCTGCTCCTCATCCCATCCCACCGTCTCTCCTCATCATCCCATCCCACCATCTCTGCTCCTCATCCCATCCCACCATCTCTGCTCCTCCCATCCCACCATCTTTGCTCCTCATCCCATCCCACCATCTCTGCTCCTCATCCCATCCCACCATCTCTGCTCCTCATCCCATCCCACCATCTCTGCTCCTCATCCCATCCCACCATCTCTGCTCCTCATCCCATCCCACCATCTCTGCTCCTCATCCCATCCCACCGTCTTTGCTCCTCATCCCATCCCACCATCTCTGCTCCTCATCCCATCCCACCGTCTCTCCTCATCATCCCATCCCACCATCTCTGCTCCTCATCCCATCCCACCATCTCTGCTCCTCATCCCATCCCACCATCTCTGCTCCTCATCCCATCCCACCATCTTTGCTCCTCATCCCATCCCACCATCTCTGCTCCTCATCCCATCCCACCATCTCTGCTCCTCATCCCATCCCACCATCTCTGCTCCTCATCCCATCCCACCGTCTCTCCTCATCATCCCATCCCACCATCTCTGCTCCTCATCCCATCCCACCATCTCTGCTCCTCATCCCATCCCACCATCTTTGCTCCTCATCCCATCCCACCATCTCTGCTCCTCATCCCATCCCACCATCTCTGCTCCTCATCCAATCCCACCATCTCTGCTCCTCATCCCATCCCACCATCTCTGCTCCTCATCCCATCCCACCATCTCTGCTCCTCATCCCATCCCACCATCTCTGCTCCTCATCCCATCCCACCATCTCTGCTCCTCATCCCATCCCACCGTCTCTCCTCATCATCCCATCCCACCATCTCTGCTCCTCATCCCATCCCACCATCTCTGCTCCTCATCCCATCCCACCATCTTTGCTCCTCATCCCATCCCACCATCTCTGCTCCTCATCCCATCCCACCATCTCTGCTCCTCATCCCATCCCACCATCTCTGCTCCTCATCCCATCCCACCATCTCTGCTCCTCATCCCATCCCACCATCTCTGCTCCTCATCCCATCCCACCATCTTTGCTCCTCATCCTATCCCACCATCTCTGCTCCTCATCCCATCCCACCATCTCTGCTCCTCATCCCATCCCACCATCTCTGCTGCTCATCCCATCCCACCATCTCTGCTCCTCATCCCATCCCACCATCTCTGCTCCTCATCCCATCCCACCATCTCTGCTCCTCATCCCATCCCACCATCTCTGCTCCTCATCCCATCCCACCATCTTTGCTCCTCATCCCATCCCACCATCTCTGCTCCTCATCCCATCCCACCATCTCTGCTCCTCATCCCATCCCACCATCTCTGCTCCTCATCCCATCCCACCATCTCTGCTCCTCATCCCATCCCACCGTCTTTGCTCCTCATCCCATCCCACCATCTCTGCTCCTCATCCCATCCCACCATCTTTGCTCCATCCATCCCACCATCTCTGCTCCTCATCCATCCACCATCTCTGCTCCTCATCCCATCCCACCATCTCTGCTCCTCATCCCATCCCACCATCTCTGCTCCTCATCCCATCCCACCATCTCTGCTCCTCATCCCATCCCACCATCTCTGCTCCTCATCACATCCCACCATCTCTGCTCCTCATCCCATCCCACCATCTCTGCTCCTCATCCCATCCCACCATCTCTGCTCCTCATCCCATCCCACCATCTCTGCTCCTCATCCCATCCCACCATCTCTGCTCCTCATCCCATCCCACCATCTCTGCTCCTCATCCCATCCCACCATCTTTGCTCCTTATCCCATCCCACCATCTCTGCTCCTCATCCCATCCCACCATCTCTGCTCCTCATCCCATCCCACCATCTCTGCTCCTCATCCCATCCCACCATCTCTGCTCCTCATCCCATCCCACCATCTCTGCTCCTCATCCCATCCCACCGTCTCTCCTCATCATCCCATCCCACCATCTCTGCTCCTCATCCCATCGCACCATCTTTTCTCCTCATCCCATCCCACCATCTCTGCTCCTCATCCCATCCCACCATCTCTGCTCCTCATCCAATCCCACCATCTCTGCTCCTCATCCCATCCCACCATCTCTGCTCCTCATCCCATCCCACCATCTTTGCTCCTCATCCCATCCCACCATCTCTGCTCCTCATCCCATCCCACCATCTCTGCTCCTCATCCCATCCCACCATCTCTGCTCCTCATCCCATCCCACCATCTCTGCTCCTCATCCCATCCCACCGTCTCTCCTCATCATCCCATCCCACCATCTCTGCTCCTCATCCCATCCCACCATCTCTGCTCCTCATCCCATCCCACCATCTCTGCTCCTCATCCCATTCCACCATCTCTGCTCCTCATCCCATCCCACCATCTCTGCTCCTCATCCAATCCCAAAATCTCTGCTCCTCATCCCATCCCACCGTCTCTCCTCATCATCCCATCCCACCATCTCTGCTCCTCATCCCATCCCACCATCTCTGCTCATCATCCCATCCCACCATCTCTGCTCCTCATCCCATCCCACCATCTCTGCTCCTCATCCCATCCCACCATCTCTGCTCCTCATCCCATCCCACCGTCTCTGCTCCTCATCCCATCCCACCGTCTCTGCTCCTCATCCCATCCCACCGTCTCTCCTCATCATCCCATCCCACCATCTCTGCTCCTCATCCCATCCCACCATCTCTGCTCCTCATCCCATCCCACCATCTCTGCTCCTCATCCCATCCCACCATCTCTGCTCCTCATCCCATCCCACCATCTCTGCTCCTCATCCCATCCCACCATCTTTGCTCCTCATCCCATCCCACCATCTCTGCTCCTCATCCCATCCCACCATCTCTGCTCCTCATCCCATCCCACCATCTCTGCTCCTCATCCCATCCCACCGTCTCTCCTCATCATCCCATCCCACCATCTCTGCTCCTCATCCCATCGCACCATCTTTTCTCCTCATCCCATCCCACCATCTCTGCTCCTCATCCCATCCCACCATCTCTGCTCCTCATCCAATCCCACCATCTCTGCTCCTCATCCCATCCCACCATCTCTGCTCCTCATCCCATCCCACCATCTTTGCTCCTCATCCCATCCCACCATCTCTGCTCCTCATCCCATCCCACCATCTCTGCTCCTCATCCCATCCCACCATCTCTGCTCCTCATCCCATCCCACCATCTCTGCTCCTCATCCCATCCCACCGTCTCTCCTCATCATCCCATCCCACCATCTCTGCTCCTCATCCCATCCCACCATCTCTGCTCCTCATCCCATCCCACCATCTCTGCTCCTCATCCCATTCCACCATCTCTGCTCCTCATCCCATCCCACCATCTCTGCTCCTCATCCAATCCCAAAATCTCTGCTCCTCATCCCATCCCACCGTCTCTCCTCATCATCCCATCCCACCATCTCTGCTCCTCATCCCATCCCACCATCTCTGCTCATCATCCCATCCCACCATCTCTGCTCCTCATCCCATCCCACCATCTCTGCTCCTCATCCCATCCCACCATCTCTGCTCCTCATCCCATCCCACCGTCTCTGCTCCTCATCCCATCCCACCGTCTCTGCTCCTCATCCCATCCCACCGTCTCTCCTCATCATCCCATCCCACCATCTCTGCTCCTCATCCCATCCCACCATCTCTGCTCCTCATCCCATCCCACCATCTCTGCTCCTCATCCCATCCCACCATCTCTGCTCCTCATCCCATCCCACCATCTCTGCTCCTCATCCCATCCCACCATCTTTGCTCCTCATCCCATCCCACCATCTCTGCTCCTCATCCCATCCCACCATCTCTGCTCCTCATCCCATTCCACCATCTTTGCTCCTCATCCCATCCCACCATCTCTGCTCCTCATCCCATCCCACCATCTCTGCTCCTCATCCCATCCCACCATCTCTGCTCCTCATCCCATCCCACCATCTCTGCTCCTCATCCCATCCCACCATCTCTGCTCCTCATCCCATCCCACCGTCTCTCCTCATCATCCCATCCCACCATCTCTGCTCCTCATCCCATCCCACCATCTCTGCTCCTCCCATCCCACCATCTTTGCTCCTCATCCCATCCCACCATCTCTGCTCCTCATCCCATCCCACCATCTCTGCTCCTCATCCCATCCCACCATCTCTGCTCCTCATCCCATCCCACCGTCTCTCCTCATCATCCCATCCCACCATCTCTGCTCCTCATCCCATCCCACCGTCTTTGCTCCTCATCCCATCCCACCATCTCTGCTCCTCATCCCATCCCACCGTCTCTCCTCATCATCCCATCCCACCATCTCTGCTCCTCATCCCATCCCACCATCTCTGCTCCTCATCCCATCCCACCATCTCTGCTCCTCATCCCATCCCACCATCTTTGCTCCTCATCCCATCCCACCATCTCTGCTCCTCATCCCATCCCACCATCTCTGCTCCTCATCCCATCCCACCATCTCTGCTCCTCATCCCATCCCACCGTCTCTCCTCATCATCCCATCCCACCATCTCTGCTCCTCATCCCATCCCACCATCTCTGCTCCTCATCCCATCCCACCATCTTTGCTCCTCATCCCATCCCACCATCTCTGCTCCTCATCCCATCCCACCATCTCTGCTCCTCATCCAATCCCACCATCTCTGCTCCTCATCCCATCCCACCATCTCTGCTCCTCATCCCATCCCACCATCTCTGCTCCTCATCCCATCCCACCATCTCTGCTCCTCATCCCATCCCACCATCTCTGCTCCTCATCCCATCCCACCGTCTCTCCTCATCATCCCATCCCACCATCTCTGCTCCTCATCCCATCCCACCATCTCTGCTCCTCATCCCATCCCACCATCTTTGCTCCTCATCCCATCCCACCATCTCTGCTCCTCATCCCATCCCACCATCTCTGCTCCTCATCCCATCCCACCATCTCTGCTCCTCATCCCATCCCACCATCTCTGCTCCTCATCCCATCCCACCATCTCTGCTCCTCATCCCATCCCACCATCTTTGCTCCTCATCCTATCCCACCATCTCTGCTCCTCATCCCATCCACCATCTCTGCTCCTCATCCCATCCCACCATCTCTGCTCCTCATCCCATCCCACCATCTCTGCTGCTCATCCCATCCCACCATCTCTGCTCCTCATCCCATCCCACCATCTCTGCTCCTCATCCCATCCCACCATCTCTGCTCCTCATCCCATCCCACCATCTCTGCTCCTCATCCCATCCCACCATCTTTGCTCCTCATCCCATCCCACCATCTCTGCTCCTCATCCCATCCCACCATCTCTGCTCCTCATCCCATCCCACCATCTCTGCTCCTCATCCCATCCCACCATCTCTGCTCCTCATCCCATCCCACCAGTCTTTGCTCCTCATCCCATCCCACCATCTCTGCTCCTCATCCCATCCCACCATCTTTGCTCCTCATCCCATCCCACCATCTCTGCTCCTCATCCCATCCCACCATCTCTGCTCCTCATCCCATCCCACCATCTCTGCTCCTCATCCCATCCCACCATCTCTGCTCCTCATCCCATCCCACCATCTCTGCTCCTCATCACATCCCACCATCTCTGCTCCTCATCCCATCCCACCATCTCTGCTCCTCATCCCATCCCACCATCTCTGCTCCTCATCCCATCCCACCATCTCTGCTCCTCATCCCATCCCACCATCTCTGCTCCTCATCCCATCCCACCATCTCTGCTCCTCATCCCATCCCACCATCTCTGCTCCTCATCCATCCCACCATCTCTGCTCCTCATCCCATCCCACCATCTTTGCTCCTTATCCCATCCCACCATCTCTGCTCCTCATCCCATCCCACCATCTCTGCTCCTCATCCCATCCCACCATCTCTGCTCCTCATCCCATCCCACCATCTCTGCTCCTCATCCCATCCCACCATCTCTGCTCCTCATCCCATCCCACCGTCTCTCCTCATCATCCCATCCCACCATCTCTGCTCCTCATCCCATCGCACCATCTTTTCTCCTCATCCCATCCCACCATCTCTGCTCCTCATCCCATCCCACCATCTCTGCTCCTCATCCAATCCCACCATCTCTGCTCCTCATCCCATCCCACCATCTCTGCTCCTCATCCCATCCCACCATCTTTGCTCCTCATCCCATCCCACCATCTCTGCTCCTCATCCCATCCCACCATCTCTGCTCCTCATCCCATCCCACCATCTCTGCTCCTCATCCCATCCCACCATCTCTGCTCCTCATCCCATCCCACCGTCTCTCCTCATCATCCCATCCCACCATCTCTGCTCCTCATCCCATCCCACCATCTCTGCTCCTCATCCCATCCCACCATCTCTGCTCCTCATCCCATTCCACCATCTCTGCTCCTCATCCCATCCCACCATCTCTGCTCCTCATCCAATCCCAAAATCTCTGCTCCTCATCCCATCCCACCGTCTCTCCTCATCATCCCATCCCACCATCTCTGCTCCTCATCCCATCCCACCATCTCTGCTCATCATCCCATCCCACCATCTCTGCTCCTCATCCCATCCCACCATCTCTGCTCCTCATCCCATCCCACCATCTCTGCTCCTCATCCCATCCCACCGTCTCTGCTCCTCATCCCATCCCACCGTCTCTGCTCCTCATCCCATCCCACCGTCTCTCCTCATCATCCCATCCCACCATCTCTGCTCCTCATCCCATCCCACCATCTCTGCTCCTCATCCCATCCCACCATCTCTCCTCCTCATCCCATCCCACCGTCTCTCCTCATCATCCCATCCCACCATCTCTGCTCCTCATCCCATCCCACCGTCTCTCCTCATCATCCCATCCCACCATCTCTGCTCCTCATCCCATCCCACAGTCTCTCCTCATCATCCCATCCCACCATCTCTGCTCCTCATCCCATCCCACCATCTCTGCTCCTCATCCCATCCCACCATCTCTGCTCCTCATCCCATCCCATCATCTTTGCTCCTCATCCCATCCCACCATCTCTGCTCCTCATCCCATCCCACCATCTCTGCTCCTCATCCCATCCCACCATCTCTGCTCCTCATCCCATCCCACCAACTCTGCTCCTCATCCCATCCCACCATCTCTGCTCCTCATCCCATCCCACCATCTCTGCTCCTCATCCCATCCCACCATCTCTGCTCCTCATCCCATCCCACCGTCTCTCCTCATCATCCCATCCCACCATCTCTGCTCCTCATCCCATCCCACCATCTCTGCTCCTCATCCCATCCCACCATCTCTGCTCCTCATCCCATCCCACCGTCTCTGCTCCTCATCCCATCCCACAGTCTCTGCTCCTCATCCCATCCCACCGTCTCTCCTCATCATACCATCCCACCATTTCTGCTCCTCATCCCATCCCACTATCTCTGCTCCTCATCCCATCCCACCATCTCTCCTCCTCATCCCATCCCACCGTCTCTCCTCATCATCCCATCCCACCATCTCTGCTCCTCATCCCATCCCACCATCTCTGCTCCTCATCCCATCCCACCATCTCTGCTCCTCATCCCATCCCACCATCTCTGCTCCTCATCCCATCCCACCATCTCTGCTCCTCATCCCATCCCACCATCTCTGCTCCTCATCCCATCCCACCGTCTCTCCTCATCATCCCATCCCACCATCTCTGCTCCTCATCCCATCCCACCATCTCTGCTCCTCATCCCATCCCACCATCTCTGCTCCTCATCCCATTCCACCATCTCTGCTCCTCATCCCATCCCACCATCTCTGCTCCTCATCCAATCCCACCATCTCTTTTCCTCATCCCATCCCACCATCTTTGCTCCTCATCCCATCCCACCATCTCTGCTCCTCATCCCTTCCCACCATCTCTGCTCCTCATCCAATCCCACCATCTCTGCTCCTCATCCCATCCCACCATCTCTGCTCCTCATCCCATCCCACCATCTTTGCTCCTCATCCCATCCCACCATATTTGCTCCTCATCCCATCCCACCATCTTTGCTCCTCATCCCATCCCACCATCTCTGCTCCTCATCCCTTCCCACCATCTCTGCTCCTCATCCAATCCCACCATCTCTGCTCCTCATCCCATCCCACCATCTCTGCTCCTCATCCCATCCCACCATCTCTGCTCCTCATCCCATCCCACCATCTCTGCTCCTCATCCCATCCCACCATCTCTGCTCCTCATCCCATCCCACCATCTCTGCTCCTCATCCCATCCCACCGTCTCTCCTCATCATCCCATCCCACCATCTCTGCTCCTCATCCCATCCCACCATCTCTGCTCCTCATCCCATCCCACCATCTTTGCTCCTCATCCCATCCCACCATCTCTGCTCCTCATCCCTTCCCACCATCTCTGCTCCTCATCCAATCCCACCATCTCTGCTCCTCATCCCATCCCACCACCTCTGCTCCTCATCCCATCCCACCATCTTTGCTCCTCATCCCATCCCACCATCTTTGCTCCTCATCCCATCCCACCATCTTTGCTCCTCATCCCATCCCACCATCTCTGCTCCTCATCCCATCCCACCATCTCTGCTCCTCATCCCATCCCACCATCTCTGCTCCTCATCCCATCCCACCATCTCTGCTCCTCATCCCATCCCACCATCTCTGCTCCTCATCCCATCCCACCATCTCTGCTCCTCATCCCATCCCACCATCTCTGCTCCTCATCCCATCCCACCATCTCTGCTCCTCATCCCATCCCACCATCTCTGCTCCTCATCCCATCCCACCATCTTTGCTCCTCATCCCATCCCACCATCTCTGCTCCTCATCCCATCCCACCGTCTCTCCTCATCATCCCATCCCACCATCTCTGCTCCTCATCCCATCCCACCATCTCTGCTCCTCATCCCATCCCACCATCTCTGCTCCTCATCCCATCCCACCATCTCTGCTCCTCATCCCATCCCACCATCTCTGCTCCTCATCCCATCCCACCATCTCTCCTCCTCATCCCATCCCACCGTCTCTGCTCCTCATCCCATCCCACCGTCTCTGCTCCTCATCCCATCCCACCGTCTCTCCTCATCATCCCATCCCACCATCTCTGCTCCTCATCCCATCCCACCATCTCTGCTCCTCATCCCATCCCACCATCTCTGCTCCTCATCCCATCCCACCATCTCTGCTCCTCATCCCATCCCACCATCTCTGCTCCTCATCCCATCCCACCGTCTCTCCTCATCATCCCATCCCACCATCTCTGCTCCTCATCCCATCCCACCATCTCTGCTCCTCATCCCATCCCACCATCTCTGCTCCTCATCCCATTCCACCATCTCTGCTCCTCATCCCATCCCACCATCTCTGCTCCTCATCCAATCCCAAAATCTCTGCTCCTCATCCCATCCCACCGTCTCTCCTCATCATCCCATCCCACCATCTCTGCTCCTCATCCCATCCCACCATCTCTGCTCATCATCCCATCCCACCATCTCTGCTCCTCATCCCATCCCATCATCTTTGCTCCTCATCCCATCCCACCATCTCTGCTCCTCATCCCATCCCACCATCTCTGCTCCTCATCCCATCCCACCATCTCTGCTCCTCATCCCATCCCACCAACTCTGCTCCTCATCCCATCCCACCATCTCTGCTCCTCATCCCATCCCACCATCTCTGCTCCTCATCCCATCCCACCATCTCTGCTCCTCATCCCATCCCACCGTCTCTCCTCATCATCCCATCCCACCATCTCTGCTCCTCATCCCATCCCACCATCTCTGCTCCTCATCCCATCCCACCATCTCTGCTCCTCATCCCATCCCACCGTCTCTGCTCCTCATCCCATCCCACAGTCTCTGCTCCTCATCCCATCCCACCGTCTCTCCTCATCATACCATCCCACCATTTCTGCTCCTCATCCCATCCCACTATCTCTGCTCCTCATCCCATCCCACCATCTCTCCTCCTCATCCCATCCCACCGTCTCTCCTCATCATCCCATCCCACCATCTCTGCTCCTCATCCCATCCCACCATCTCTGCTTCTCATCCCATCCCACCATCTCTGCTCCTCATCCCATCCCACCATCTCTGCTCCTCATCCCATCCCACCATCTCTGCTCCTCATCCCATCCCACCATCTCTGCTCCTCATCCCATCCCACCGTCTCTCCTCATCATCCCATCCCACCATCTCTGCTCCTCATCCCATCCCACCATCTCTGCTCCTCATCCCATCCCACCATCTCTGCTCCTCATCCCATTCCACCATCTCTGCTCCTCATCCCATCCCACCATCTCTGCTCCTCATCCTATCCCACCATCTCTTCTCCTCATCCCATCCCACCATCTTTGCTCCTCATCCCATCCCACCATCTCTGCTCCTCATCCCTTCCCACCATCTCTGCTCCTCATCCAATCCCACCATCTCTGCTCCTCATCCCATCCCACCATCTCTGCTCCTCATCCCATCCCACCATCTTTGCTCCTCATCCCATCCCACCATCTTTGCTCCTCATCCCATCCCACCATCTTTGCTCCTCATCCCATCCCACCATCTCTGCTCCTCATCCCTTCCCACCATCTCTGCTCCTCATCCAATCCCACCATCTCTGCTCCTCATCCCATCCCACCATCTCTGCTCCTCATCCCATCCCACCATCTCTGCTCCTCATCCCATCCCACCATCTCTGCTCCTCATCCCATCCCACCATCTCTGCTCCTCATCCCATCCCACCATCTCTGCTCCTCATCCCATCCCACCGTCTCTCCTCATCATCCCATCCCACCATCTCTGCTCCTCATCCCATCCCACCATCTCTGCTCCTCATCCCATCCCACCATCTTTGCTCCTCATCCCATCCCACCTCTCTGCTCCTCATCCCATCCCACCATCTCTGCTCCTCATCCCATCCCACCATCTTTGCTCCTCATCCCATCCCACCATCTCTGCTCCTCATCCCATCCCACCATCTCTGCTCCTCATCCCATCCCACCATCTCTGCTCCTCATCCCATCCCACCATCTCTCCTCCTCATCCCATCCCACCGTCTCTCCTCATCATCCCATCCCACCATCTCTGTTCCTCATCCCATCCCACCATCTCTGCTCCTCATCCCATCCCACCATCTCTGCTCCTCATCCCATCCCACCAACTCTGCTCCTCATCCCATCCCACCATCTCTGCTCCTCATCCCATCCCACCATCTCTGCTCCTCATCCCATCCCACCATCTCTGCTCCTCATCCCATCCCACCGTCTCTCCTCATCATCCCATCCCACCATCTCTGCTCCTCATCCCATCCCACCATCTCTGCTCCTCATCCCATCCCACCATCTCTGCTCCTCATCCCATCCCACCGTCTCTGCTCCTCATCCCATCCCACAGTCTCTGCTCCTCATCCCATCCCACCGTCTCTCCTCATCATACCATCCCACCATTTCTGCTCCTCATCCCATCCCACTATCTCTGCTCCTCATCCCATCCCACCATCTCTCCTCCTCATCCCATCCCACCGTCTCTCCTCATCATCCCATCCCACCATCTCTGCTCCTCATCCCATCCCACCATCTCTGCTCCTCATCCCATCCCACCATCTCTGCTCCTCATCCCATCCCACCATCTCTGCTCCTCATCCCATCCCACCATCTCTGCTCCTCATCCCATCCCACCGTCTCTCCTCATCATCCCATCCCACCATCTCTGCTCCTCATCCCATCCCACCATCTCTGCTCCTCATCCCATCCCACCATCTCTGCTCCTCATCCCATTCCACCATCTCTGCTCCTCATCCCATCCCACCATCTCTGCTCCTCATCCAATCCCACCATCTCTTCTCCTCATCCCATCCCACCATCTTTGCTCCTCATCCCATCCCACCATCTCTGCTCCTCATCCCTTCCCACCATCTCTGCTCCTCATCCAATCCCACCATCTCTGCTCCTCATCGCATCCCACCATCTCTGCTCCTCATCCCATCCCACCATCTTTGCTCCTCATCCCATCCCACCATCTTTGCTCCTCATCCCATCCCACCATCTTTGCTCCTCATCCCATCCCACCATCTCTGCTCCTCATCCCATCCCACCATCTCTGCTCCTCATCCAATCCCACCATCTCTGCTCCTCATCCCATCCCACCATCTCTGCTCCTCATCCCATCCCACCATCTCTGCTCCTCATCCCATCCCACCATCTCTGCTCCTCATCCCATCCCACCATCTCTGCTCCTCATCCCATCCCACCATCTCTGCTCCTCATCCCATCCCACCGTCTCTCCTCATCATCCCATCCCACCATCTCTGCTCCTCATCCCATCCCACCATCTCTGCTCCTCATCCCATCCCACCATCTTTGCTCCTCATCCCATCCCACCATCTCTGCTCCTCATCCCATCCCACCGTCTCTCCTCATCATCCCATCCCACCATCTCTGCTCCTCATCCCATCCCACCATCTCTGCTCCTCATCCCATCCCACCATCTCTGCTCCTCATCCCATCCCACCATCTCTGCTCCTCATCCCATCCCACCATCTCTGCTCCTCATCCCATCCCACCATCTCTCCTCCTCATCCCATCCCACCGTCTCTGCTCCTCATCCCATCCCACCGTCTCTGCTCCTCATCCCATCCCACCGTCTCTCCTCATCATCCCATCCCACCATCTCTGCTCCTCATCCCATCCCACCATCTCTGCTCCTCATCCCATCCCACCATCTCTGCTCCTCATCCCATCCCACCGTCTCTCCTCATCATCCCATCCCACCATCTCTGCTCCTCATCCCATCCCACCATCTCTGCTCCTCATCCCATCCCACCATCTCTGCTCCTCATCCCATTCCACCATCTCTGCTCCTCATCCCATCCCACCATCTCTGCTCCTCATCCAATCCCACCATCTCTTCTCCTCATCCCATCCCACCATCTTTGCTCCTCATCCCATCCCACCATCTCTGCTCCTCATCCCTTCCCACCATCTCTGCTCCTCATCCAATCCCACCATCTCTGCTCCTCATCCCATCCCACCATCTCTGCTCCTCATCCCATCCCACCATCTTTGCTCCTCATCCCATCCCACCATCTTTGCTCCTCATCCCATCCCACCATCTCTGCTCCTCATCCCATCCCACCATCTCTGCTCCTCATCCAATCCCACCATCTCTGCTCCTCATCCCATCCCACCATCTCTGCTCCTCATCCCATCCCACCATCTCTGCTCCTCATCCCATCCCACCATCTCTGCTCCTCATCCCATCCCACCATCTCTGCTCCTCATCCCATCCCACCATCTCTGCTCCTCATCCCATCCCACCGTCTCTCCTCATCATCCCATCCCACCATCTCTGCTCCTCATCCCATCCCACCATCTCTGCTCCTCATCCCATCCCACCATCTTTGCTCCTCATCCCATCCCACCATCTCTGCTCCTCATCCCATCCCACCGTCTCTCCTCATCATCCCATCCCACCATCTCTGCTCCTCATCCCATCCCACCATCTCTGCTCCTCATCCCATCCCACCATCTCTGCTCCTCATCCCATCCCACCATCTCTGCTCCTCATCCCATCCCACCATCTCTGCTCCTCATCCCATCCCACCATCTCTCCTCCTCATCCCATCCCACCGTCTCTGCTCCTCATCCCATCCCACCGTCTCTGCTCCTCATCCCATCCCACCGTCTCTCCTCATCATCCCATCCCACCATCTCTGCTCCTCATCCCATCCCACCATCTCTGCTCCTCATCCCATCCCACCATCTCTGCTCCTCATCCCATCCCACCGTCTCTCCTCATCATCCCATCCCACCATCTCTGCTCCTCATCCCATCCCACCATCTCTGCTCCTCATCCCATCCCACCATCTCTGCTCCTCATCCCATTCCACCATCTCTGCTCCTCATCCCATCCCACCATCTCTGCTCCTCATCCAATCCCACCATCTCTTCTCCTCATCCCATCCCACCATCTTTGCTCCTCATCCCATCCCACCATCTCTGCTCCTCATCCCTTCCCACCATCTCTGCTCCTCATCCAATCCCACCATCTCTGCTCCTCATCCCATCCCACCATCTCTGCTCCTCATCCCATCCCACCATCTTTGCTCCTCATCCCATCCCACCATCTTTGCTCCTCATCCCATCCCACCATCTTTGCTCCTCATCCCATCCCACCATCTCTGCTCCTCATCCCATCCCACCATCTCTGCTCCTCATCCAATCCCACCATCTCTGCTCCTCATCCCATCCCACCATCTCTGCTCCTCATCCCATCCCACCATCTCTGCTCCTCATCCCATCCCACCATCTCTGCTCCTCATCCCATCCCACCATCTCTGCTCCTCATCCCATCCCACCATCTCTGCTCCTCATCCCATCCCACCGTCTCTCCTCATCATCCCATCCCACCATCTCTGCTCCTCATCCCATCCCACCATCTCTGCTCCTCATCCCATCCCACCATCTCTGCTCCTCATCCCATCCCACCATCTCTGCTCCTCATCACATCCCACCATCTCTGCTCCTCATCCCATCCCACCATCTCTGCTCCTCATCCCATCCCACCATCTCTGCTCCTCATCCCATCCCACCATCTCTGCTCCTCATCCCATCCCACCATCTCTGCTCCTCATCCCATCCCACCATCTCTGCTCCTCATCCCATCCCACCGTCTCTCCTCATCATCCCATCCCACCATCTCTGCTCCTCATCCCATCCCACCATCTCTGCTCCTCATCCCATCCCACCATCTTTGCTCCTCATCCCATCCCACCATCTCTGCTCCTCATCCCATCCCACCATCTCTTCTCCTCATCCCATCCCACCATCTCTGCTCCTCATCCCATCCCACCATCTCTGCTCCTCATCCCATCCCACCATCTCTGCTCCTCATCCCATCCCACCATCTTTGCTCCTCATCCCATCCCACCTCTCTGCTCCTCATCCCATCCCACCATCTCTGCTCCTCATCCCATCCCACCATCTCTGCTCCTCATCCCATCCCACCATCTCTGCTCCTCATCCCATCCCACCATCTCTGCTCCTCATCCCATCCCACCATCTCTGCTCCTCATCCCATCCCACCATCTCTGCTCCTCATCCCATCCCACCATCTCTGCTCCTCATCCCATCCCACCATCTCTGCTCTTCATCACATCCCACCATCTCTGCTCCTCATCCCATCCCACCATCTCTGCTCCTCATCCCATCCCACCATCTCTGCTCCTCATCCCATCCCACCATCTCTGCTCCTCATCCCATCCCACCGTCTCTCCTCATCATCCCATCCCACCATCTCTGCTCCTCATCCCATCCCACCATCTCTGCTCCTCATCCCATCCCACCATCTCTGCTCCTCATCCCATTCCACCATCTCTGCTCCTCATCCCATCCCACCATCTCTGCTCCTCATCCATTCCCACCATCTCTGCTCCTTATCCCATCCCACCATCTCTGCTCCTCATCACATCCCACCATCTCTGCTCCTCATCCCATCCCACCATCTCTGCTCCTCATCCCATCCCACCATTTCTGCTCCTCATCCCATCCCACCATCTTTGCTCCTCATCCCATCCCACCATCTCTGCTCCTCATCCCATCCCACCATCTCTTCTCCTCATCCCATCCCACCATCTCTGCTCCTCATCCCATCCCACCATCTCTGCTCCTCATCCCATCCCACCATCTCTGTTCCTCATCCCATCCCAACATCTCTGCTCCTCATCCCATCCCACCATCGCTGCTCCTCATCCCATCCCACCATCTTTGCTTCTCATCCCATCCCACCATCTCTGCTCCTCATCCCATCCCACCATCACTTCTCCTCATCCCATCCCACCATCTCTGCTCCTCATCCCATCCCACCATCTCTGCTCCTCATCCCATCCCACCATCTCTGCTCCTCATCCCATACCACCATCTTTGATCCTCATCCCATCCCACCATCTCTGCTGCTCATCCCATCCCACCATCTCTGCTCCTCATCCCATCCCACCATCTCTGCTCCTCATCCCATCCCACCATCTCTGCTCCTCATCCCATCCCACCATCTCTGCTCCTCATCCCATCCCACCATCTCTGCTCCTCATCCCATCCCACCATCTCTGCTCCTCATCCCATCCCACCATCTCTGCTCCTCATCCCATCCCACCGTCTCTCCTCATCATCCCATCCCACCATCTCTGCTCCTCATCCCATCCCACCATCTCTGCTCCTCATCCCATCCCACCATCTTTGCTCCTCATCCCATCCCACCATCTCTGCTCCTCATCCCATCCCACCATCTCTTCTCCTCATCCCATCCCACCATCTCTGCTCCTCATCCCATCCCACCATCTCTGCTCCTCATCCCATCCCACCATCTCTGCTCCTCATCCCATCCCACCATCTCTGCTCCTCATCCCATCCCACCATCTCTGCTCCTCATCCCATCCCACCATCTTTGCTCCTCATCCCATCCCACCATCTCTGCTCCTCATCCCATCCCACCATCTCTTCTCCTCATCCCATCCCACCATCTCTGCTCCTCATCCCATCCCACCATCTCTGCTCCTCATCCCATCCCACCATCTCTGCTCCTCATCCCATACCACCATCTTTGATCCTCATCCCATCCCACCATCTCTGCTGCTCATCCCATCCCACCATCTCTGCTCCTCATCCCATCCCACCATCTCTGCTCCTCATCCCATCCCACCATCTCTGCTCCTCATCCCATCCCACCATCTCTGCTCCTCATCCCATCCCACCATCTCTGCTCCTCATCCCATCCCACCATCTCTGCTCCTCATCACATCCCACCATCTCTGCTCCTCATCCCATCCCACCATCTCTGCTCCTCATCCCATCCCACCATCTCTGCTCCTCATCCCATCCCACCATCTTTGCTCCTCATCCCATCCCACCATCTCTGCTCCTCATCCCATCCCACCATCTCTTCTTCTCATCCCATCCCACCATCTCTGCTCCTCATCCCATCCCACCATCTCTGCTCCTCATCCCATCCCACCATCTCTGCTCCTCATCCCATCCCACCATCTTTGCTCCTCATCCCATCCCACCATCTCTGCTCCTCATCCCATCCCACCATCTCTGCTCCTCATCCCATCCCACCATCTCTGCTCCTCATCCCATCCCACCATCTCTGCTCCTCATCCCATCCCACCATCTCTGCTCCTCATCCCATCCCACCATCTCTGCTCCTCATCCCATCCCACCATCTCTGCTCCTCATCACATCCCACCATCTCTGCTCCTCATCCCATCCCACCATCTCTGCTCCTCATCCCATCCCACCATCTCTGCTCCTCATCCCATCCCACCATCTCTGCTCCTCATCCCATCCCACCATCTCTGCTCCTCATCCCATCCCACCATCTCTGCTCCTCATCCCATCCCACCGTCTCTCCTCATCATCCCATCCCACCATCTCTGCTCCTCATCCCATCCCACCATCTCTGCTCCTCATCCCATCCCACCATCTTTGCTCCTCATCCCATCCCACCATCTCTGCTCCTCATCCCATCCCACCATCTCTTCTCCTCATCCCATCCCACCATCTCTGCTCCTCATCCCATCCCACCATCTCTGCTCCTCATCCCATCCCACCATCTCTGCTCCTCATCCCATCCCACCATCTCTGCTCCTCATCCCATCCCACCATCTCTGCTCCTCATCCCATCCCACCATCTCTGCTCCTCATCCCATCCCACCATCTCTGCTCCTCATCCCATCCCACCATCTCTGCTCCTCATCCCATCCCACCATCTCTGCTCCTCATCCCATCCCACCATCTCTGCTCCTCATCCATCCCACCATCTTTGCTCCTCATCCATCCCACCATCTCTGCTCCTCATCCCATCCCACCATCTCTTCTCCTCATCCCATCCCACCATCTCTGCTCCTCATCCCATCCCACCATCTCTGCTCCTCATCCCATCCCACCATCTCTGCTCCTCATCCCATCCCACCATCTTTGCTCCTCATCCCATCCCACCATCTCTGCTCCTCATCCCATCCCACCATCTCTTCTTCTCATCCCATCCCACCATCTCTGCTCCTCATCCCATCCCACCATCTCTGCTCCTCATCCCATCCCACCATCTCTGCTCCTCATCCCATCCCACCATCTTTGCTCCTCATCCCATCCCACCATCTCTGCTCCTCATCCCATCCCACCATCTCTGCTCCTCATCCCATCCCACCATCTCTGCTCCTCATCCCATCCCACCATCTCTGCTCCTCATCCCATCCCACCATCTCTGCTCCTCATCCCATCCCACCATCTCTGCTCCTCATCCCATCCCACCATCTCTGCTCCTCATCACATCCCACCATCTCTGCTCCTCATCCCATCCCACCATCTCTGCTCCTCATCCCATCCCACCATCTCTGCTCCTCATCCCATCCCACCATCTCTGCTCCTCATCCCATCCCACCATCTCTGCTCCTCATCCCATCCCACCATCTCTGCTCCTCATCCCATCCCACCGTCTCTCCTCATCATCCCATCCCACCATCTCTGCTCCTCATCCCATCCCACCATCTCTGCTCCTCATCCCATCCCACCATCTTTGCTCCTCATCCCATCCCACCATCTCTGCTCCTCATCCCATCCCACCATCTCTTCTCCTCATCCCATCCCACCATCTCTGCTCCTCATCCCATCCCACCATCTCTGCTCCTCATCCCATCCCACCATCTCTGCTCCTCATCCCATCCCACCATCTTTGCTCCTCATCCCATCCCACCTCTCTGCTCCTCATCCCATCCCACCATCTCTGCTCCTCATCCCATCCCACCATCTTTGCTCCTCATCCCATCCCACCATCTCTGCTCCTCATCCCATCCCACCATCTCTGCTCCTCATCCCATCCCACCATCTCTGCTCCTCATCCCATCCCACCATCTCTGCTCCTCATCCCATCCCACCATCTCTGCTCCTCATCCCATCCCACCATCTCTGCTCCTCATCCCATCCCACCATCTCTGCTCCTCATCACATCCCACCATCTCTGCTCCTCATCCCATCCCACCATCTCTGCTCCTCATCCCATCCCACCATCTCTGCTCCTCATCCCATCCCACCATCTCTGCTCCTCATCCCATCCCACCGTCTCTCCTCATCATCCCATCCCACCATCTCTGCTCCTCATCCCATCCCACCATCTCTGCTCCTCATCCCATCCCACCATCTCTGCTCCTCATCCCATCCCACCATCTCTGCTCATCATCCCATCCCACCATCTCTGCTCCTCATCCCATCCCACCATCTCTGCTCCTCATCCCATCCCACCATCTCTGCTCCTCATCCCATCCCACCATCTCTGCTCCTCATCCCATCCCACCATCTTTGCTCCTCATCCCATCCCACCATCTCTGCTCCTCATCCCATCCCACCATCTCTTCTCCTCATCCCATCCCACCATCTCTGCTCCTCATCCCATCCCACCATCTCTGCTCCTCATCCCATCCCACCATCTCTGCTCCTCATCCCATCCCACCATCTTTGCTCCTCATCCCATCCCACCATCTCTGCTCCTCATCCCATCCCACCATCTCTGCTCCTCATCCCATCCCACCATCTCTGCTCCTCATCCCATCCCACCATCTCTGCTCCTCATCCCATCCCACCATCTCTGCTCCTCATCCCATCCCACCATCTCTGCTCCTCATCCCATACCACCATCTTTGATCCTCATCCCATCCCACCATCTCTGCTGCTCATCCCATCCCACCATCTCTGCTCCTCATCCCATCCCACCATCTCTGCTCCTCATCCCATCCCACCATCTCTGCTCCTCATCCCATCCCACCATCTTTGCTCCTCATACCATCCCACCATCTCTGCTCCTCATCACATCCCACCATCTCTGCTCCTCATCCCATCCCACCATCTCTGCTCCTCATCCCATCCCACCATCTCTGCTCCTCATCCCATCCCACCATCTCTGCTCCTCATCCCATCCCACCGTCTCTCCTCATCATCCCATCCCACCATCTCTGCTCCTCATCTTATTCCACCATCTCTGCTCCTCATCCCATCCCACCATCTCTGCTCCTCATCCCATTCCACCATCTCTGCTCCTCATCCCATCCCACCATCTCTGCTCCTCATCCAATCCCACCATCTCTGCTCCTCATCCCATCCCACCATCTCTGCTCCTCATCCCATCCCACCATCTCTGCTCCTCATCCCATCCCACCATCTCTGCTCCTCATCCCATCCCACCGTCTCTCCTCATCATCCCATCCCACCATCTCTGCTCCTCATCCCATCCCAACATCTCTGCTCCTCATCCCATCCCACCATCTCTGCTCCTCATCCCATTCCTACATCTCTGCTCCTCATCCCATCCCACCATCTCTGCTCCTCATCCAATCCCACCATCTCTGCTCCTCATCCCATCCCACCATCTCTGCTCCTCATCCCATCCCACCATCTCTGCTCCTCATCCCATCCCACCATCTCTGCTCCTCATCCCATCCCACCATCTCTGCTCCTCATCCCATCCCACCGTCACTCCTCATCATCCCATCCCACCATCTCTGCTCCTCATCCCATCCAACCATCTCTTCTCCTCATCCCATTCCACCATCTCTGCTCCTCATCCCATCCCACCATCTCTGCTCCTCATCCAATCCCACCATCTCTTCTCCTCATCCCATCCCACCGTCTCTCCTCATCATCCCATCCCACCATCTCTGCTCCTCATCCCATCCCACCATCTTTGCTCCTCATCCCATCCCACCATCTCTGCTCCTCATCCCATCCCACCATCTCTGCTCCTCATCCCATCCCACCATCTCTGCTCCTCATCCCATCCCACCATCTCTGCTCCTCATCCCATCCCACCGTCTCTCCTCATCATCCCATCCCACCATCTCTGCTCCTCATCCCATCCCACCATCTCTGCTCCTCATCCCATTCAACCATCTCTGCTCCTCATCCCATCCCACCATCTCTGCTCCTCATCCAATCCCACCATCTCTTCTCCTCATCCCATCCCACCATCTTTGCTCCTCATCCCATCCCACCATCTCTGCTCCTCATCCCTTCCCACCATCTCTGCTCCTCATCCAATCCCACCATCTCTGCTCCTCATCCCATCCCACCATCTCTGCTCCTCATCCCATCCCACCATCTTTGCTCCTCATCCCATCCCACCATCTCTGCTCCTCATCCCATCCCACCATCTCTGCTCCTCATCCCATCCCACCATCTCTGCTCCTCATCCCATCCCACCATCTCTGCTCCTCATCCCATCCCACCATCTCTGCTCCTCATCCCATCCCACCATCTCTGCTCCTCATCCCATCCCACCGTCTCTCCTCATCATCCCATCCCACCATCTCTGCTCCTCATCCCATCCCACCATCTCTGCTCCTCATCCCATTCCACCATCTCTGCTGCTCATCCCATCCCACCATCTCTGCTCCTCATCCAATCCCACCATCTCTTCTCCTCATCCCATCCCACCATCTTTGCTCCTCATCCCATCCCACCATCTTTGCTCCTCATCCCATCCCACCATCTCTGCTCCTCATCCCTTCCCACCATCTCTGCTCCTCATCCAATCCCACCATCTCTGCTCCTCATCCCATCCCACCATCTCTGCTCCTCATCCCATCCCACCATCTTTGCTCCTCATCCCATCCCACCATCTCTGCTCCTCATCCCATCCCACCATCTCTGCTCCTCATCCCATCCCACCATCTCTGCTCCTCATCCCATCCCACCGTCTCTGCTCCTCATCCCATCCCACCATCTCTGCTCCTCATCCAATCCCACCATCTCTTCTCCTCATCCCATCCCACCATCTTTGCTCCTCATCCCATCCCACCATCTCTGCTCCTCATCCCTTCCCACCATCTCTGCTCCTCATCCAATCCCACCATCTCTGCTCCTCATCCCATCCCACCATCTCTGCTCCTCATCCCATCCCACCATCTTTGCTCCTCATCCCATCCCATCATCTCTGCTCCTCATCCCATCCCACCATCTCTGCTCCTCATCCCATCCCACCATCTCTGCTCCTCATCCCATCCCACCATCTCTGCTCCTCATCCCATCCCACCATCTCTGCTCCTCATCCCATCCCACCGTCTCTCCTCATCATCCCATCCCACCATCTCTGCTCCTCATCCCATCCCACCATCTCTGCTCCTCATCCCATCCCACCATCTCTGCTCCTCATCCCATTCCACCATCTCTGCTCCTCATCCCATCCCACCATCTCTGCTCCTCATCCAATCCCACCATCTCTGCTCCTCATCCCATCCCACCGTCTCTCCTCATCATCCCATCCCACCATCTCTGCTCCTCATCCCATCCCACCATCTCTGCTCATCATCCCATCCCACCATCTCTGCTCCTCATCCCATCCCATCATCTTTGCTCCTCATCCCATCCCACCATCTCTGCTCCTCATCCCATCCCACCATCTCTGCTCCTCATCCCATCCCACCATCTTTGCTCCTCATCCCATCCCACCATCTCTGCTCCTCATCCCATCCCACCATCTCTGCTCCTCATCCCATCCCACCATCTCTGCTCCTCATCCCATCCCACCGTCTCTGCTCCTCATCCCATCCCACCGTCTCTGCTCCTCATCCCATCCCACCGTCTCTCCTCATCATCCCATCCCACCATCTCTGCTCCTCATCCCATCCCACCATCTCTGCTCCTCATCCCATCCCACCATCTCTCCTCCTCATCCCATCCCACCGTCTCTCCTCATCATCCCATCCCACCATCTCTGCTCCTCATCCCATCCCACCATCTCTGCTCCTCATCCCATCCCACCATCTCTGCTCCTCATCCCATCCCACCAACTCTGCTCCTCATCCCATCCCACCATCTCTGCTCCTCATCCCATCCCACCATCTCTGCTCCTCATCCCATCCCACCATCTCTGCTCCTCATCCCATCCCACCGTCTCTCCTCATCATCCCATCCCACCATCTCTGCTCCTCATCCCATCCCACCATCTCTGCTCCTCATCCCATCCCACCATCTCTGCTCCTCATCCCATCCCACCGTCTCTGCTCCTCATCCCATCCCACCGTCTCTGCTCCTCATCCCATCCCACCGTCTCTCCTCATCATACCATCCCACCATCTCTGCTCCTCATCCCATCCCACTATCTCTGCTCCTCATCCCATCCCACCATCTCTCCTCCTCATCCCATCCCACCGTCTCTCCTCATCATCCCATCCCACCATCTCTGCTCCTCATCCCATCCCACCATCTCTGCTCCTCATCCCATCCCACCATCTCTGCTCCTCATCCCATCCCACCATCTCTGCTCCTCATCCCATCCCACCATCTCTGCTCCTCATCCCATCCCACCATCTCTGCTCCTCATCCCATCCCACCATCTCTGCTCCTCATCCCATCCCACCGTCTCTCCTCATCATCCCATCCCACCATCTCTGCTCCTCATCCCATCCCACCATCTCTGCTCCTCATCCAATCCCACCATCTCTGCTCCTCATCCCATCCCACCGTCTCTCCTCATCATCCCATCCCACCATCTCTGCTCCTCATACCATCCCACCATCTCTGCTCACCATCCCATCCCACCATCTCTGCTCCTCATCCCATCCCACCATCTTTGCTCCTCATCCCATCCCACCATCTCTGCTCCTCATCCCATCCCACCATCTCTGCTCCTCATCCCATCCCACCATCTCTGCTCCTCATCCCATCCCACCATCTTTGCTCCTCATCCCATCCCACCATCTCTGCTCCTCATCCCATCCCACCATCTCTGCTCCTCATCCCATCCCACCATCTCTGCTCCTCATCCCATCCCACCGTCTCTGCTCCTCATCCCATCCCACCGTCTCTGCTCCTCATCCCATCCCACCGTCTCTCCTCATGATACCATCCCACCAGCTCTGCTCCTCATCCCATCCCACCATCTCTGCTCCTCATCCCATCCCACCATCTCTCCTCCTCATCCCATCCCACCGTCTCTCCTCATCATCCCATCCCACCATCTCTGCTCCTCATCCCATCCCACCATCTCTGCTCCTCATCCCATCCCACCATCTCTGCTCCTCATCCCATCCCACCATCTCTGCTCCTCATCCCATCCCACCATCTCTGCTCCTCATCCCATCCCACCATCTCTGCTCCGCATCCCATCCCACCATCTCTGCTCCTCATCCCATCCCACCGTCTCTCCTCATCATCCCATCCCACCATCTCTGCTCCTCATCCCATCCCACCATCTCTGCTCCTCATCCAATCCCACCATCTCTGCTCCTCATCCCATCCCACCATCTCTGCTCCTCATCCCATCCAACCGTCTCTCCTCATCATCCCATCCCACCATCTCTGCTCCTCATCCCATCCCACCATCTCTGCTCCTCATCCCATCCCACCATCTTTGCTCCTCATCCCATCCCGCCATCTCTGCTCCTCATCCCATCCCACCATCTCTTCTCCTCATCCCATCCCACCATCTCTGCTCCTCATCCCATCCCACCATCTCTGCTCATCATCCCATCCCACCATCTCTGCTCCTCATCCCATCCCACCGTCTCTCCTCATCATCCCATCCCACCATCTCTGCTCCTCATCCCATCCCACCATCTCTGCTCCTCATCCCATCCCACCATCTTTGCTCCTCATCCCATCCCACCGTCTTTGCTCCTCATCCCATCCCACCATCTCTGCTCCTCATCCCTTCCCACCATCTCTGCTCCTCATCCAATCCCAACATCTCTGCTCCTCATCCCATCCCACCATCTCTGCTCCTCATCCCATCCCACCATCTCTGCTCCTCATACCATCCCACCATCTCTGCACCATATCCCATCCCACCATCTCTGCTCCTCATCCCATCCCACCATCTCTGCTCCTCATCCCATCCCACCGTCTCTCCTCATCATCCCATCCCACCATCTCTGCTCCTCATCCCATCCCACCATCTCTGCTCCTCATCCCATCCCACCATCTTTGCTCCTCATCCCATCCCACCATCTCTGCTCCTCATCCCATCCCACCATCTCTTCTCCTCATCCCATCCCACCATCTCTGCTCCTCATCCCATCCCACCATCTCTGCTCCTCATCCCATCCCACCATCTCTGCTCCTCATCCCATCCCACCATCTCTGCTCCTCATCCCATCCCACCATCTTTGCTCCTCATCCCGTCCCACCATCTCTGCTCCTCATCCCATCCCACCATCTCTGCTCCTCATCCCATCCCACCATCTTTGCTCCTCATCCCATCCCACCATCTTTGCTCCTCATCCCATCCCACCATCTTTGCTCCTCATCCCGTCCCACCATCTCTGCTCCTCATCCCATCCCACCATCTCTGCTCCTCATCCCATCCCACCATCTCTGCTCCTCATCCCATCCCACCATCTCTGGTCCTCATCCCATCCCACCATCTCTGCTCCTCATCCCATCCCACCATCTCTGCTCCTCATCCCATCCCACCATCTCTGCTCCTCATCCCATCCCACCATCTCTGCTCATCATCCCATCCCACCATCTCTGCTCCTCATCCCATACCACCATCTCTGCTCCTCATCCCATCCCACCATCTCTGCTCCTCATCCCATCCCACCATCTCTGCTCCTCATCCCATCCCACCATCTCTGCTCCTCATCCCATCCCACCATCTCTGCTCCTCATCCCATCCCACCATCTCTGCTCCTCATCCCATCCCACCATCTCTGCTCCTCATCCCATCCCACCATCTATGCTCCTCATCCCATCCCACCATCTCTTCTCCTCATCCCATCCCACCATCTCTGCTCCTCATGCCATCCCACCATCTCTGCTCCTCATCCCATCCCACCATCTCTGCTCCTCATCCCATCCCACCATCTCTGCTCCTCATCCCATCCCACCATCTCTGCTCCTCATCCCATCCCACCATCTCTGCTCCTCATCCCATCCCACCATCTCTGCTCCTCATCCCATCCCACCGTCTCTGCTCCTCATCCCATCCCACCGTCTCTGCTCCTCATCCCATCCCACCGTCTCTCCTCATCATCCCATCCCACCATCTCTGCTCCTCATCCCATCCCACCATCTCTGCTCCTCATCCCATCCCACCATCTCTCCTCCTCATCCCATCCCACCGTCTCTCCTCATCATCCCATCCCACCATCTCTGCTCCTCATCCCATCCCACCATCTCTGCTCCTCATCCCATCCCACCATCTCTGCTCCTCATCCCATCCCACCAACTCTGCTCCTCATCCCATCCCACCATCTCTGCTCCTCATCCCATCCCACCATCTCTGCTCCTCATCCCATCCCACCATCTCTGCTCCTCATCCCATCCCACCGTCTCTGCTCCTCATCCCATCCCACCGTCTCTGCTCCTCATCCCATCCCACCGTCTCTCCTCATCATACCATCCCACCATCTCTGCTCCTCATCCCATCCCACTATCTCTGCTCCTCATATCATTCCACCATCTCTGCTCCTCATCCCATCCCACCATCTCTGCTCCTCATCCCATCCCACCATCTCTGCTCCTCATCCCATCCCACCATCTCTGCTCCTCATCCCATCCCACCATCTCTGCTCCTCATCCCATCCCACCATCTCTGCTCCTCATCCCATCCCACCATCTATGCTCCTCATCCCATCCCACCATCTCTGCTCCTCATCCCATCCCACCATCTCTGCTCCTCATGCCATCCCACCATCTCTGCTCCTCATCCCATCCCACCATCTCTGCTCCTCATCCCATCCCACCATCTCTGCTCCTCATCCCATCCCACCATCTCTGCTCCTCATCCCATCCCACCATCTCTGCTCCTCATCCCATCCCACCATATCTGCTCCTCATCCCATCCCACCATCTCTGCTCATCATCCCATCCCACCATCTCTGCTCCTCATCCAATCCCACCATCTCCACTCCTCATCCCTTCCCACCATATCTGCTCCTCATCCCATCCCACCATCTCTGCTCATCATCCCATCCCACCATCTCTCCTCATCATCCCATCCCACCATCTCTGCTCCTCATCCCATCCCACCATCTCTGCTCATCATCTCATCCCACCATCTCTCCTCATCATCCCATCCCACCATCTCTGCTCCTCATCCCATCCCACCATCTCTGCTCCTCATCCCATCCGACCATCTCTCCTCCTCATCCCATCCCACCATCTCTGCTCCTCATCCTATCCCACCATCTCTGCTCCTCATCCGATCCCACCATCTCTGCTCCTCATCCCATCCCACCATCTCTGCTCCTCATCCCATCCCACCATCTCTGCTCCTCATCCCATCCCATCATCTCTCCTAATCATCCCAACCAGCCATCTCTACACCTCATCCCATCCCACCATCTCTACTCCTCATCACATCCCACCATCCCTGCTCCTCATCCCATCTTACCATCTCTGCTCTCCATCCCATCCCGCCACCTCTGCTCCTCAACCAATCCCAACATCTCTGCTCCCCATCCCATCCCACCATCTCTGCTCCTCATCCCATCCCACCATCTCTGCTCCTCAACCCAACCCACCACCTCTGCTCCTCATCCCATCCCACCATCTCTGCTCCTCATCCCATCCCACCATCTTTGGTGCAGCAGAACTGGGACGTGGCCACGGACTCGTGCGTTTCGCAGACGACCGAATAGGGGATGCGATGATGAATTGTGAAGCTGTCGTGGGGTTGACGTGAAGGAATGTGCTACTGAAAGGGAACAGGCGAGAGGCGTGGCTGCAGCTTTCGCTTTGCTGGAGCACCTCGGTGGTGCTGCGGTACTTTGCAACACAATCCGCAAATGAATAAGGGCAGTAGTGCACACATTGGACCGAATAAGCGTCTGAACGTTTGGGAACAGTACCATAGTCAGGAAGGAAAGCCCGCTGTTGTTTATGATGGCAAATAAATAGTTGGTCCTTACATGTTTCCAGCAAGCTACAATCAGGTGATTCTCCTCCCTGGACCCCTGTACATTTACTCCCTTCCTACATCATGTAAGCCTGCTGGTACGACAACCACTGCTTCAGCAACTTAGAAATCTAACAACCGCCACCTCATCGGGCCCCTCACCCCCTAAACACCCAGGAGCAGCATCGACTTCACATAACCTTCACTTCACGCCTGGTTTTATCATGATTGAATGCGCTTCATCTAGCACCATGTTCCCGCCATCACAACCTGAGCCTGCAGGCCGCGCTGCCTGAGCATGGCAGCGAGCGTGTTGAAGACGGTCTGGCCGATCTTCTTGATCACCGCGGTGACAAACGTGTTGAGCGACCGCACATCCTTCACCCCGCTCACCCCCACGCCCAGCGCCGAGTTGTAAAACTGAACGGCCGAGTCGGTGGGCGCAGCCTTGCACTTGATCCAGTCCAGCAGGTACGTCTTGACGCAGGAGGGGTTGCGGCGGTTGTTGGCCGCCATGAGCACGTAGTCCTGGAAGCTGCTGCTGGCGCCGGACGTGCCAGGGCCCCACACGGCCAGCACGCTGCTGCGCACGTCGCTGGACGCCTGCACGCTGTTCCACAGGGTCTGTGAGCTGCAGTCGTCCTTGATCCACCACGCGTACCACCTGCAGAGGTAGCAGACGAGGGGGACGGGGAGGGGTGAAGGGAACGGGAGGGAGACGAGTGCGGAGATAACTGCAGTAACGGGAGCTAGACTACGGGCTAGGCACGTGTGCTCGTGTGATCTCTGCGTTCTCTGTTCCTTAGTCGTTTTCCTTGTGCACACACTACTTGCTAGTTCACGGGGAAAATTGGCAAGAGTTTCACTAGGAAAAGTTTTGAACAATGATACAATGAAGTTGGCATACCAAGACTACATCAGAGCAAGCATTCAGGTCGGCCAACTGCCAGCGCAGCTTGGTCGACCGCTGTCAGATTTATATGACATAGTTGCTGTAGGCTATAGTGGGGTAGCACATATGGGGTACAGGGTTTCTAGGGTTGTATTTGTACCCAATCTTTCCTTAGTCATCTCCTGACGCGGCCCCGCCGCCTGTCTGACGCGGCCCCGCCGCCTCCCCTGACGCGGCCCTGCCGCCTCCCCTGACGCGGCTCCCCCGCCTCCCCTGACGCGGCACCGCCGCCTCCCCTGACGCGGCTCCGCCGCCTCCCCTGACGCGGCCCTGCCGCCTCCCCTGACGCGGCTCCGCCGCCTCTCCTGCCGGCCCGCCACTGCACCTGCCGGCCCGCCGCTGCACCTGCCGGCCCGCCACTGCACCCTACGGCCCGCCTCTGCACCTTCCGGCCCGCCACTGCACCTGCCGGCCCGCCGCTGCACCCAGCGGCCTGCCGCCTCTGACGGCCTCGCCGCTGCACCTGCCGGCCTCGCTGCTGCACCTGCCGGCCCGCCACTGCACCCTACGGCCCGCCACTGCACCCTACGGCCCGCCGCCTGCACCTGCCGGCCCGCCGCTGCACCTGCCGGCCCGCCACTGCACCTGCCGGCCCGCCGCTGCACCTGCCGGCCCGCCACTGCACCGGTCAACCCGCCGCTGCACCTGACGGCCCCGCCCCTGCATCTCCTGGCCGAGCCGCCCCAGCAGCCGAACCGCCCGTGAGCCGAGCCGCCCGACGCCGAGCCGCCCGGGACCCGAGCCGCCCTGCCGCCGAGCCGCCCGGGAGCCGAGCCGCCCTGCACCCGAGCAGCCCGGGAGCCGAGCCGCCCTGCGCCCGAGCCGCCCAGCAGCCGAGCCGCCCAGCACCCGAGCCGCCTTTCTGCATACCTACACGACCTGCCCTGCCTGGTGAGCACAGTCCCACTGACACTGCGAGCTCTTTCCCTGCTGCTTGCACTGCGTCGCTGTCGTCGCCATGGCTACCCCTAGTGTCCTAGCTTTTGACGCTGAGGGTCGCGCCATTGATTTTGAGGTCTGGTTAGACGACCTGCAGCTGTTCTTACAGTGCGACAGGGCTGACGACCTTTCTCTCTTTGATCTCACCTCTGGCGCCTCTCCTGCTCCTGCTGCTGATGCTGATCCCGCTGTCCGCTCTAAGTGGGCCACCCGCGATGCTGCTGCACGTCTTGCTGTGCGTCGCCACCTCCCTACCTCTGAGCGTGCGCACTTCAGTCAGTACAAGAGTGCTCAGACCTTGTACGACGCTGTAGTTGCGCGCTACTCCTCCCCTGCCACTGCTGCACTGAGCCGTCTCATGCTTCCCTACCTCTTTCCTGACCTCTCTGCCTTTCCCACTGTCGCTGACCTCATTACGCACCTCCGCACTAGTGACACTCGCTACCGCGCCGCCCTTCCTGCTGAGTTCTGCGCTAAGAACCCCCCCCCCATGTACATCGCTCTCTACTACGTAGTCGCGCGCCTCCCTGACTCCCTTCGGGTCGTCAGGGACCACTTTCTCGCAGTCTGTCCCACCACCCTCACCGTCGACCTCCTCGAGAAGGCCCTCCTCGCAGCGGAGAAGAGCATCGTCGCTGTAGGTGCTTCTCGTGGTGACCCTCGCACCCCCATCTTTGAGGGGTGCTCTCCTTCCCCCTTGCTGCCCTCTGTTGCCTCTGCTGCTGCTGCCGACCTGCTTGGTCTTGAGTCGGTCGGCGCGGCGTCTGCCCCTAGTGGGAGACGTCGCTCCAGCAAGGGCAAGGGGGGCAAGGGCGCGGGTGGAGCTGGAGGGGGCGGTGGCGGTGGCGGCGGAGGGAGTGGGGGTGGCGGCGGGACTAGTGGCGGGGGTGGTGGTGGTGGTGGCAGCAGCGGCGGAGACGGTGGTGGTGGTGCCAGCGGTGGTGGTGGAGGCAGCGGCGGAGGTGGAGGCGGCGGAGGTGGAGGCGGTGGAGGCGGCAGCGGAGGAGGCAGTGGTGGTGGAGGGGGTGGATCTGGTCGGGGTGGTACCCAGCAGCGTAGCGGCGGTGGTGGTGGCCAGCGCTCGCAGCGGCAGCAGCAGCAGCGCTCTCGGGACATCCCTTCACCTCAGCAGCTTCGTGAGTGGTACGCTGGGCGTCAGAGGGGTGGGGGTACTGGTCCCTGCACCTACGTTCTTCGTTCCGGCGACCGCGCGGGTGAGCAGTGTGGGGGTGCCCACGCCACCCAGCGCTGCTTTGGCAGCCTGACGGACGCCTGGCGTCAGCAGTTCCCTGGGGCTAGTGAGATCCCTCGCTGGGATGAGCTTCTCAGGGCTGGTGTAGCGATCTTTGATCTTGATTTTGATGCTATCCTTACTGCTATGTATGTTGTGGATTATAGTGAGGAGAATGAGGGTTACCGCTGTTTCCAGCCCGACCCGGGCATTGGTACTGCTGCGCTAGGTGCTTGTGAGGCTGCTGCTCTAGGTGCCAGTGCGTCTGCGCTCTCAGGTACTGGTGAGACTGCGCTCTCAGGTACTGAGTCGTCCTCGTCCTCCCTCACTTTCACACTTGACTCCGGAGCTTCTCGCTCCTTCTTTCGAGACCGCACTACCCTTACGCCGCTCGGCCGGCCGGTTGCAGTCTCCCTTGCTGACCCCTCTGGGGGTCCTGTCCTGTCTCACTTCTCCACTGTCCTCCCGTGTCCGGCTGCCCCTTCGGGCACCCTGTCGGGTCTGTACCTTCCCTCGTTCTCTACGAACTTGGTGAGTGGAGCGGACCTGCAGGATGTGGGTGTTCACCAGTTCACTCCTGCGAGTCAGCGGGTGACCCACTGCACGGAGGCACGCACAGGCCGACACCTGGCCACGTTCTCGCGTCGGCCGGGGTCGAGTCTCTACACCCTGACCGTTGAGTCTCCTCCTGTCCCTGCGTCTGGTCAGGTGGCTGCGTCGGGTCAGGTACTTGCTGCTGCGTCCCGGTCAGGTCCTGAGTCTGCCCCCTGTTCTTGTCGCCTCCTGTCTCACGAGACTCTCCTGTGGCACCACCGTCTTGGCCACCCCTCCTTGCCCCGTCTTCGGAGCATGGCTTCCCGTGTCCTTGTCTCTGGTCTTCCCCAGTCTCTCCCTCCTCTCCCCTCCGGGCCAGGACCTTCCTGTGTCCCCTGTGTCGAGGGTCGCCTCCGGGCTACTCCTCACTCCTCCCACTTCCCCCCGACAGAGGCTCCCCTGCAGACGCTTCACATGGATGTGTGGGGCCCAGCCCCCGTCCGTGGGCAGGGTTACGAGCGCTACTTCCTGTTGGTGGTTGACGACTACTCGCGTTACACCACAGTCCTCCCCTTGCGCAGCAAGGGTGCGGTCACTGAGGTGCTGATCGACTGGATCCGCGAGGCTCGTCTCCAGCTCAGGAAGAGCTTCGGCTCGGACTTTCCTGTTCTCCGTCTGCACTCTGACAGAGGCGGAGAGTTCTCTTCTCGCCTTCTGCGAGACTACTGTCGTGCACGGGGGATCCGCCAGACCTTCACGCTTCCGGACTCACCACAGCAAAATGGGATTGCTGAGCGCCGCATTGGCATGGTCATGGATGTCGCTCGTACGTCCATGATGCATGCGGCTGCCCCCCATTTTCTGTGGCCGTTTGCGGTGAGGTACGCGGCGCATCAGCTCAACCTTCACCCCCGGGTCTCTCGGCCTGCGATGTCCCCAGTCTTGCTGTGGACGGGGAAGGTTGGCGATGCGTCTGTGTTCCGTGTCTGGGGATCTCGGGCGTTTGTCCGCGACTTGTCTGCGGACAAGCTGTCCCCTCGTGCTGCTCCCTGTGTCTTCCTTGGCTTCCCCACTGACGCCCCAGGGTGGCAGTTTTACCACCCCTCCTCTCGTCGTGTTCTGTCCTCCCAGGACGTCACGTTCGACGAGTCAGTCCCCTTCTACCGTCTCTTCCCCTACCGCACTCCTTCCCTCCCCCCTCCCCCGGACTTCCTTGTGCCGGTTCCCCCCCCGGTAGACCCCCTCCCCCCTCAGGTTCCTGCCCCCTCAGGTGTGTCCCAGGTAGACGCCGTTGACCCGGTCGAGGTTACTGGTGACTCTGGTGCTGCTGCGGGTGCTGAGCCTGGGGGTGCTGACTCTGGGGGTACTGTGCGCGGGGGTGCTGAGCCTGGGGGTGCTACTGCTGGGGGTGCTGGGCCTGAGGGTGCTACTGCGGTGGGTGCGGAGCCTGGGGGTGCTGAGCCGGGGGGTGCTGTGCCTGGAGGTGCTGGGTCTGGGGGTGCTGGGTCGGGAGCTGCTGAGCCTGGGGGTGCTGAGCTGGGAGCTGGTGAGCCTGGGGGTGCTGCGTCTGGAGCTGCTGAGCCTGGGGTTTCTCCTGCTGCTGCGTCTCGCCGGGAGCCCCTCTCTCCACAGGAGCTGCGCGAGTGGTTCGCTCGCCGCTGGAGGCGTGCTGCTGAGTCTGGAGGTGCTGCTGGAGCTGGAGCTGGAGCTTCTTCGACCGTCGAGGGTGCGGGTGCTGCCGGTCCCGGAGCTGCTGGACCTGCGGGTCCTCCTGGAGCTGGAGCTGCTGAGGGCGTTCGTGCTGAGCCTGCTGCTGTTGGTCCTGCCGCTGGAGGTGTGGGTGGCGCTGGTGCTGTCGCTGAGGGTGCTGGTGCTGTCCCTGCTGAGTCTGGAGCTGCCGCGCGGCCTCGGTCGTACTTCGTTCCGCTCCTGCAGCAGGTTCTTGGTCTTTCTCCTCCAGTAGAGGGTCCACCGCCTGTCCAGTCGCAGTCCCTGCTGGAGCCTTCCTCTCCACTGCCTGCTCCCTCTCCTTACACTGGTCCTACTGGAGGTCTTGCTGAGCGTCGTGAGCCTGCGTCTCGTCCCGCGTCGCCTGTTCGTGCTGCTCGCGCTAGTGGTCGCAGTTCGCGTCAGCGTCCTCCTCCTGTCCCTGGCACGCACCAGATGTCTCTACGTCCGTCCACTGCTCCTCTGCGTGCCCCTTTGCCTTCTCCTCCTGAGTCCTCTCTTCCTGCGCTTGCCGACCCTGAGTCGGACTCTCTTCGCGCTGCGAGTCCTACTGTCACGCGTCTGCTTGCTACTGTCGTCACTGACCCCTCTTTTGAGTCCACTGCTGCGTCTGCTCTAGTCGCTGAGCTCGTTGACTTTGCTGCTCGCTGTCGTCTCGACTACGCTGCTAGTCTTGTTGCTGAGTCTGCGTCTGTCTGTCCTCCGTCCGTCGGGGGTGAGTGTGCTCTTTGCACGGACGTCCTAGAGGACAGGCAGGAGGAGTTACAGTGTCTAGCGGCTGCTTCACCTCATCTCGCGTCTGTACTGCTTGCCCCTGAGGGAGACCCGGATGCACTAGACATCCCGACTCCGCGTTCTTACGCGGAGGCCGTAGAGGGTCCCTACTCCTCTCAGTGGCAGGCAGCTATGGATGCAGAGATGGCTTCCTGGAAGTCCACAGGCACCTACGTTGACGCGGTTCCCCGTCCTGGGGTGAACATCGTCAGTGGCATGTGGATCTTCAGGGTGAAGCGGCCGCCGGGCTCTCCACCTGTCTTCAAGGCACGGTACGTTGCTCGTGGCTTCAGTCAGCGGCAGGGAGTTGACTACTTTCAGACCTTCTCTCCCACCCCGAAGATGACTACTCTTCGGGTGCTGCTGCACATAGCCGCTCAGCGCGACTACGAGCTTCACTCTCTCGACTTCAGCACTGCGTTCTTGCAGGGTAGCCTGCACGAGGAGATCTGGCTTCGCCGTCCACCTGGCTTCACTGGGACTTTCCCTCCTGGCACCCAGTGGAGCCTCCGACGGCCAGTCTACGGTCTCCGCCAGGCACCGCGTGAGTGGCACGACACACTGAGGACTACGCTTGCGGCTCTTGGGTTTGCTCCTTCTACTGCTGACCCGTCGCTGTTTCTTCGCACCGACACTTCCCTGCCGCCGTTCTACATCCTCGTGTACGTCGACGACTTGGTCTTTGCCACAGCGGACACTGCTGGACTCGCCTACGTGAAGTCCGAGCTGCTGAAGAGACACACGTGCACAGACCTGGGTGAACTGCGCAGCTACCTTGGCTTGCAGATCACTCGGGACAGAGCACGCCGCACCATTACCTTGACTCAGTCACACATGGTGCAGCAGGTCCTTCAGCGCTTCGGCTTCACGTACTCCTCGCCTCAGGCCACTCCTCTGCCTACTCGCCACTCACTCTCAGCTCTGCCTTCGGATGAGTCCGTAGAGTCGAGTGGTCCGTATGCAGAGCTTGTTGGCTGCCTCATGTACCTGATGACCTGCACACGACCTGACCTTGCATACCCTCTGAGCATTCTTGCACGCTATGTTGCTCCTGGGAGACACAGACCGGAGCACATGGCTGCAGCGAAGAGGGTATTGCGCTACCTGTGCAGTACGTCGGGCATGGGGCTAGTGCTTGGAGGGCGGA